GTGAGGACCCTCTCTTCTTCTGTGAGGACCCTCTCTTCTTCTATGAGGACCTCCTGTTCTTCTATGAGGACCTCCTGTTCTTCTGTGAGGACCTCATGTCCCTCTGCAGTGTGAGGACCTCATGTCCCTCTGCAGTGTGAGGACCTCCTGGTGTTGCTGACGGAAGTGCAGCCTGTGGTATTGGATTGTTTTGGCTCCTCTCGAAATACTGTGTGAGTGTGAGACAATGGACTATTGTTAGAGCGGATATTCTTCACATTCATGTAGCCCACTGAGGACCTCTCCACACACACACACACACACACACACACACACACACACACACACACACACACACACACACACACACACACACACAAACACCGAAGCCAAGAAGAGCAAACATTGTGTAACCAATAATTACAAAATAATATAATAAGATCATAAATAGGAGTAAAAAAGAATGTGGAAGTATTTGTACTACTCAAGTGGAAGTGGGGTTTATCAGAGTCTCTGTATTCATCTAAAACGACTAAAGAAACAAGTCTCCGGATTTTCGGACTGGAAAACTGTGGAGTCCAATGGAAGCTGATGATGCCGTAAACATCACATGAAAGAGCTGAGCAGCTGTTAGCCCCTCTGATGGACACCGACAGATCAAACTCATTATTTATTTATTTATTTATTTTCTACCAAAATGACTGCACAATGCTGTCATGAAGATTAAGAGAAAAAAAATTGGAGAACGAAGTAAGTCCAGAGCAGTGGTCGTGTACTGGAGCTGGTCCCTGAGCGTGTTTGGACCCCTGGGTGTGTTCGGGCCCCTGGTGAGGTGGCCCCAGAGCTTACGTAAAGGCTGCTTTGTGCTGCTCCTTCCTCTGGACCAGGCTTCCTCTGGAACTTTAAGACCCCCATTTCCTCACAGTGCACAGGCTCTGTGTTCCACTCTCTGCTCCACAAACACACTCCAGCTTCAAACACATTTCACTTTGGAATCAGAACTGTTCAGAATTGTACTATCTCAATCTTAAATGTCAGGCCTTTTACATGTTGGAAAGTATAATTATTTGAGTGACTTTTTGCAGTAGTTGGCAGACTGTATATAAAGTGTTTCTAAGTTGAAGTTTTTTTCCCTCAGTCGTCCGGTAGAATCCACGGCAAAGAGAAATTCAGTTTGTCAACTGGACAACTGGACTGGTCCTCCCTTCAGGCAGTGTCCAGCAGCATTTTGACCAGAACTGAAGAAGCAGTTTGACAATTTGAATTTCTCCTTTTGCCATGTTCTTACTTGAGTAAAGGTTTGGTTTACTCTCCGTACTGTGAGTAGATTTTGTGCGTCATCACGTCACTCAAATAGTAGTTTTCCTTATATATTGTAGACCTACTAAGGCTATGTTTATATGATGACAGTCTCAAAAGGAGACACAAAAGTGGCATTGCATCTTCACTTTTTATTCTGCATTTAGACGAGCGTTTCAAGAGGAAATTGGCATACAGTGACGCAAAAGTGTTCACAAAAGAATTTGATTGTGTATGCATGCCACGCGACATGAGCAGAATTGACCTGAGTTTTGCTTCTTGGGCAGTGTAGACGGAAACGGCGACACGGTGGCTGAGTGTTTAGCACTCATGCCTCACAGCAAGAAAGTTGTGGGTTCGATCCCCAGGTCGCCCAGGCCTTTCTGTGTGGAGTTTGCATGTTTCTCCCTGTGTCTGGATGGGTTTCCTCTGGTCTCCAGGAAAAGTTGATAGCTGAGATGTGTGAAAAATCCCTCAGTCGTCCAGGTAGAATCCATGGTGAGGAAAAAAATTGCTCTATTATGGACATGAATGTGTATGGACATGTTCTACTAATTAGACCCCACACCCTGTACAGGTCAATTGGCTGAACTAAGGCTACATTCAGACTGCAGGGTTTAACGCTCAATTCAGATTTTTTTTGTGAAATCCGATGTTTTTGTGAGGTCGTTCACATTTCCAGTTAAATGTGACTTGTATGTGACTCCAGTGTGAACGTTAAACGGCCCAAAAGTGTCCCGCATGTGACACTGGAGACACGACGACGTCAACCGCAGCGAGCGTCTCTGTGTTTACAGAAGTTGTCCAAACATGGACGCAGCATCGAGCACCTGGAGATTTTAAAGTTCCTCTCGTACCGGAGCCAGAACATGAACAACTTACTTGTTTTAAGGATTGAGAAGGAGAAGGACGAGGTTTTTGGTCGTGGTGTTTTGTGGGGCAGTGGCAGCGACGTCTGTCGAAAGGAACGTGTGGATGTGGAGACGGAGCCAAGAGTGGTGAGTGGTGATGTGCTTCACTTCAGTCACACGGAGTTCATTAACAATTTTCGCTGACTTCAGCGCAGAATAGTGACGTTTGTGGTTTGTTGATATCGTGTAGGTGGATGAATGCACTTTGGCCGTTCAGACTGAAGTCACATGTCAAAAGATCAGATATGTATCAATTTTAGGAGCACATATCCAAGTGTCCTGGGTCACATTTGAAAAAATCTGATCTGTGTCATTCAGTCATTAAAAGATCAGATACAGGAACATAGGGGCTAAAAAAATCAGATTTGGGTCACTTCAGGCTGCAGTCTGAACACAGCCTTATTAACAGAAAGTGTAATAAGTGTGTGTGTTAGTTTCAGAGTAGTTAGCTCCTCCTGCAGACAGATATAAGGAAGTGTCACCAGCGTCTGACCAGAACTGAAGAAGCAGCTTGGATGAGCTGCAAAACCTCTTCAACCAAACTAACTTTTGTCCAGTCCACAAACTGAAAACTGAATTTTCTCCTCGCCAGTTGATAATTAAGGCCAATTAAATACAATCAATCAATGAACCTGCCCAGGGACGACAGGTGGAAATTCGCTCTGGTGCTACAACCTGGTACAAGCATCTCTCCTGTTAAGGTTCATGTCAAAATGATGCGCTGTCTCATTAAATTACAAAAAAATACAAAAAAAAACGCTACAGCAGAGCGTGTTCAACTTTTCCACTCTGGAGGGTGGATTTGAGATTTTTGCATTTTTAAGCCCCAAAAACGCCGTCACCGTCTAAATGAAAGGCACTTCCAATAAAATATTTTGTCGTTTTTACCAGCAAGCGTTCTCCTGTAAACGGACCCTCATAGGCTTAATCTGTGTAATATTTTTGACTCACCCTGCCAGTCAGAAGTTTTAGAACACCCTGATTTATTGCAGTTCAAGTCGTGCAAGTCCAATAAAGAGCTTGAAATGGTGCAAAGGTAAAAAAAAAAAAAACTGAACAGACAGAGGTTAAAAAAAAGTCCAAGCTCTGCCAGAACTTCCTCAGGAAAAAAGAACAAGATGATGAGCTTGAAAACCTGGAGTGTCCAGACTTAAACCCCATCGAACTGGACAGAAGAGTGAAGCAAAATACAAGTGCCACACATTTATGGAAACTTCTGTGACAGACTTGGGAAGAACTTTCTGAACAATATTTGATTTGTGTTGTAGAAAGAACGAGCCACGAGTGTGTTCAGCTGTTCTATCTGCCAAAGGTGAACACACACATGAGTCAAAAGTTTAGAATATGTTTTGGTCGACAGTGAACAAAAAAACTGGAAAAGTGTGGTTTTCTAAAACTTTTGAGAGGTAGTCAGTATTAGGGAGTAACAGATTACATGTACCAGAGTTACGTAATCAGAGAACAAATTATAAGTAACTGTATTCAGTTACAGTTACTGTTTCCATGAGTGGTAATTGGATTACAGTTACTTTGTTGAAATGAATGGATTACATGGCAGTATTTTCCTGTTTTCACATTTTGGGCTATATCCCTTTTTTTGTTTTTTTTGTTTTGGTAATTCCACTCATTGCCGGACACTAAACCAGGTCTAAAACCAAGTCTAAACTAGGCCTAAACCAGGTCTGTTTTTAATACGGTTAAGTAAAGACTGAGCTTTTTATTTTCTTTTAGAAGACAAAAGATCTTATGTGAAGATTTCCTGGTCTTTGCTTCTCTACAGCAAACCAAGTAATCCAAAGTATTCAGATTACATTACTCACTTTAAGTAATTTAATGGATTCCATTACAAACTACATTTTGGGGTATGTAATCTGTAATCTGTAGGGGGATACATTTGAAAAGTCACCTTCACAACACTGGCAGTAGTGTACTTAATATACTTTCTGACAACTACCACCTCTGTGTAGAGAAAACCAGGGGACTCTTGTTGTGGCACAGTTGGTCAGTGTTCACCCTCTAACCACAGGTGGATCACTTCACCTCACTGCCCTGTCTGGTGCGTTGTGACAGGAAGGGCATCTGGCGTAAAAAAAACAATCTGTGTCCCCTGGGTCAAACCTGAACTCTCTAAAAAGACCCGTCAGCTCCTCTTCGGGGTCTTTGTGCTGACTTTTGTGCCTGTTTGTGTTTCATAACAAGAGACATGAACCATCAGGACAAAAAGTGTGACTGCTGGAGATACTGAGCTGCGCGGTTTGAACGAGACCAGCAGAATGGCGCACACATGGCCGCTGCTGTGCGTGTGTTATTGGAGACTGAGTGCTGTATCGGCCCGGGCTGCATTGTTCCTGCGGTTATGTCATAAAGTTACATAATCTGCGGTTATCTGCGGCATAAAGGCAAATCAGCGCTGCGCCTGTTTGGATCTGAGTCTGAGTCTGAGCTGCTGCTGCTGGAGGCTCCGCGCATGAGGAGCCCGGGAGCGGCGCACTGCAGCGGGACACATCCAGCCCCACTCCGCTCCATCCCACGGGACTGGGGCAGAGCGGAGTCCTCCTTTCACAAAGAGCCCGAGGACTCCGATCTGCAGCAGCACGTCCCGCTCCCCTCCCCGCTCCCGTACAGGGCGCTCTGTGTCCAGGTCTGACCCCCTGCGGGGGGCAGGCTCTGGCACGTGCCTCTGTGTGTTGTATAGGCCACTGTTTGGAGCCGTGTGGACTTTTCCACGCTGCTGTGAGGGGAGGGAGGGAGGGGTGTGTGCGCGGGGCGGAGCAGAGCGCGCCTCTGGCACACCAAAGCTGAGCGCTCCAGTCTCCGCGCACACACGCACACTGTGCTCTCGTACCTCGCGCTCTCTCTCCGCTCCGCGCGTCTCTCCTCCACAAAGGCTCCGCAGACAGGGACTTTCCCGCGGCTCTGGACTGCCTCTCACTCTGCTACTCGGACTGAGGACTGACCCACAGCGGACATGTCGGGGACAGAGAGCTCGCTGCAGCTGTCGGACTACCAGCTCCGCACTCTGGAGGAGAACTTCACCAAAGTGAGCAAACACCCAGACGAGACCACGCTGATGCTGATCGCAGCTGAGTGCGGACTGTCCCAAGAGGAGACGCAGGTGAGGACCGCGGGGACGCACTAAACACACGCGGGGGCGCACTAAACACGCTCTCTTATGTCCAGAAAGAGGAGGAGAGCGCGGCCCGTGTGCGGAGGAGGGTGGTACCAGATTACGGTTCTCTGTTTTTGTGTTCTGCTGTTGGCTCGATATAAACATTTGGGAGGAACGCTGTGGTCTAGAACATGTCTGTGGAGCTTTTGAACGTCCACGAGAGGAATGTAGGCTTTAGAAGGCAACATTACGTCATGAGATTGGGTCGTGTTGAATCTGTGGTTGGACTGGATTTTCTGGATCCGTGCGCGTGCGTGTGCGCGGGCCCGGGTGGAGTAGGGAGGGCATCCTGCTCCAGATGCGGGACATGTCTCATGTCCTCCTCCGCGTGGGACAGCGCTGCACGGTCCAAAGTCCTGAGCGG